CCTCCATCACCACCTCAATTTATCTCCATCAGCAGCACCTCTATCATCTCCATCAGCAGCACCACCACCACCTTGACTTGGACCTCCATCTCCTTCTTGTCTCTCCCTTCCCTCTCCTCTCTCTCTACATTCCCTCATACTCGTTTTCATTCACCTGCAAGAATTCTGCGACGGGAAATTCTTGGCTACCATCCAACAGCTTCTGTCCCAACCAACCTCTCAGCTCCCTCCCCGCCCCTCCACCCGCATGCTCCCAACCTGCTTGCTGTCGTCACCAGCCACGTCCGCCATGCTCGATCGCAAGGAAACCCTGTCAGACGTCATGGGCTCGACCAGGAAAGCAACACGATCACATGCTGCTCGTCCTGGGTCTCAGTGCCGGAGCTGCAGAGAGGCCTGAGCTTTGGCGGGCGTGGAGGAACTTGGCAGGGGAAGTAGCGATGAAGGCGCAGGCACTCGAAACCGCCACAAGCAGGAGAGCGGCGCGTGTGAAACCTCGACTCATGGCGTGCAATGTGCTCTCTTTCGCTCGCAAGCACTCAGACGCCTGCAGAAGGAGAACGTCACGCCCCGATGCAGCAAAATCATTGAACCGACTGATCTCTCTCCCGACCCTTCTTCTTCCCTCTTCTTCTTCCCTCTTCTCCTTCCCTCTTCTCCTTCCCTCTTCTCCTTCCCTCTTCTCCTTCCCTCTTCTCCTTCCCTCTTTCTTTCCCTCTCCGAGTTTCCCCTACTCCCACCCTTTTTACCCTCTCATGCTTCTTCCTATCTGACCTCCTCGACTATCTCTCTTCCTCAGCGTCCGTTCGTCATGGTCAGTCACTTGCGGAGATACGGGGGCAGGACTGGCAGTTCACAAGGGAGGGAAGGATAGGCATGATGCAGGGGAAAGTGTAAGGCAGGCAGAAGCGTAGAATGAGGACAAGAGAGGGACGAGGACGAGGACGAGGACAAGGACGAGGACGAGGACGAGGACGAGGACGAGGACGAGGACAAGGACAAGAACGAGGACGAGGACGAGGACAAGGACAAGGACAAGGACAAGGACGAGGACGAGGACGAGGACGAGGACGAGGACGAGGACGAGGACGAGGACGAGGACGAGGACGAGGACGAGGACGAGGACGAGGACGAGGACGAGGACGAGGACGAGGACGAGGACGAGGACAAGGACGAGGACGAGGACGAGGACGAGGACGAGGACGAGGACAAGGACAAGGACAAGGACAAGGACGAGGACGAGGACGAGGACGAAGACGAGGACGAGGAGCGGCTTCACTTCCTCCCACGTCCTCCTCATGCGCAAACAGCCTCCACAAGCCTGCTCCGGGTCCCCGGCCGTCGCCCGGCCCGGCCCGCTGCCGCCGGTGCCCGCCGGGTGACTCAGTTTCTGAACTAAGTCATCCCGATGCTCACCGGGGGCCCCTCCCACCCCTTCTGCACTTTGAGTAAACAGTCAAAAAGACTAGAGTAACACTAGTTTACCCCTCAGCGCACGATTTGGCACTCGATTATGGAAAGTACAAACCTTGGGATCTTTGAGCAGCAGCCCATCAGCTTGGGTGGCTGCCGCTGACAAGTTTCTTCATGGATTGCCGGTTACCCGGCACCAGGCAGAACGTTTCCCAACATGGCCCTGAAGATCATGATGTAGGGGACTTTGAACTTCCACAACTGATGGCTACTGGCGGCGGATGGCATGGCAACGGTTAATCCTGGACAGGCTTCAGCATGTCACATGTTTTTGACAATCATCGGATGGAATACCGGACCTCGCTCGGAGCAAACTGCAAGCGGCAGCACAGCGGAAGATCCGTGGACATCGTAGTGCATATGCTCAGCACGTCCCGCCAAAGGCCTTTCTTCCCATCATCGCCAGCACTGATGGTCTCTTGCAGGGACGATGCGTTGCGCTTTCTGTGGTGGCTGGGCGGATCGCTCGGCGAACAAGGAACTTGACGGCAGCGCTGGATGGTCTCTCGGCCTCTCAAGACGTCTCAGGTGATCCGACTTGCAAACGCATCCGGTCCAGGATCTTTCGTCAGCTCAAGGCCTCCCTGTCCTACGCTGCCATCATCATGAGTCGCGGGTGCATCCCGGTATGCGTCTCATTCCTTCGGCGGCGGCCACCGCGACATCGCTGGCATGGCCGCGCGGGGGACTTGTCCTGCGCGCCGTTAAGTGAAGGTATCAGTTAAGTTTGGGGGACAGCAGTCGGCAGGATTAGGTTTGGTTCTCGCTGTCTTTCTCTTCTCGCCGTTTGGCCTGTGCGACAGTGTCAGGGTCAAGCCTCCTCGACTCTCATTATTGTCCTCGTACTGATTTTTAACTTAATTTTGAGTGAAGGAAAATCAGTGATAGTAACACTCAGTGACTCTTGCGTCGTACTCGTCGTCATCGTTGCGCAGTCGAAACCCGGTGTGATCCGGGGCCGGCCCGGTCCCTACTGCGGCGTCCGACCGTGTCAAGCAGCCGCTCCGACTCCGAGTGATAGTACCAATAATAGCAGCACTGAGCCGGGCTCAAAGTGACCTGTTTTTTTGTTTTAAAACATTTTTGCGGTCAAAAAGACTATTTTACTACTGTCAGTGCGGTGGTGGGGAAAAGTCACGGCTCGGAGCACTAAAATATAACGTAAGATTGGCCAATATACCAACTTTCAATTATCAGTACGAGAAAGTACCAATCATTGAATACACGAACAAGTTTAGTACCTTATGTTAGTACTGATGTGTTCGTACTCGTACTGTAGGATTTGTACCGGGCACTGATTACTTCATTTTTGCATTTCCTTCATCGGGTGGTCAGGCGAAACGATCGGTTTGGTGGTCATTTGCGGGATTTCAGGGGTAGGGTGGTATACTGAGGGGTGGTTCCACAGATGATCTCAGGGGTTTAAGGTACGATAATAAGGGCCGTTTCACGCGAAGCCCAATGGTCGAGTTTGTCAGCAAGTGTGGTACTATTTTTTACTCAAACAAATTGAAATCATCTGGCCCATTGACATAAAAGTACAATTTAATTCCAAAGGTCGAGATGGTGAACCGTTGCGGTCGAGTTTGTCAGCAAAATGAGTACCCCTGATTTAATTCAACAAAAGAAGGGGTGGGTGGAGGCTACAGTTGGTCAAACTGATCGTTTGAAATCAAATTGAAAGGCAGCCTAGGTTGTATGATAGCCTTTAAATACCGGGATGTTTGTTATGAAATATCGAACCCTGAGCATGGGCTACACATGATAATTTCACCTTTAAAAACATGTAAAATTCAAATGCATTTAAAACTATTGGAAAAACTCGAGCTTTGGGCTCGGCGTGAAACGGCCCTAATAATCCGGACGGAGATAGAAGGGACAGGGGTGGGTAGTCATTAAAGTCACAAGCAGGGAGAAAGGGGGTGGGGTCTGAGGTGCAGGTTCATTTTGTAGCGAAAATGGATCGTCCGGGGGTATGGGTGCAATCGATGGTACCCGACACAGCTGATTCAGGCATAGGGGGTAGGGTACTGTACTAGACTCTAAATGACCGGTACCCGGAGAGGAATTTTCAAAGAGAGCTACGGGATGAAGGATGTCAACGTCTTGGTGATAGGGGTAGGGGTAGGGGTAGGGGTAGGGGTAGGGGTAGGGGTAGGGGCAGTTCCGTGTGCAAGCTTAGGGCTGGGGTACGTGGGGTAGGGTGACTACTGGCGGTCCATGATAACTATGGCAAAGGAAACCTGAGAGGAGACGAGTGTGAGTCTTGAAGGAGGAGGAGGAGGAGGAGGAGGTGTTCTCTTGGATGTGACCGCTTCGATGTCTAGACGGAAGGATGCGGAGTGACCTGTGAAGCAAGATGCCGACGAGAGGACATGCATGGAAGGAAATCAGCTGCATATAGCACGGGAGGAGCAGGAGGCATGGGCAGCAAACCGGTGAGGGGGTGTCGATGTGCTCACCTGAGTTCTCTCACGGCCACTATGGTGCAGAAGACATTTGCGGAAGAGACAAACGCCCCCAGGGGAGCAGCATGGATGGACGAGAAGTCGGAGGAAGAAGAAGGGAGTGAACAGCAGAGGGCGGGATGCTATCAGAAGGCTTGGATCTATCCCGAGTTGCCCTGGTGATCAAACACCTTGCTGATCTGTCCGAGATGACTTCATTCCGATGTCGATAGGGGAGCGCCGCCGTCATGGAATGAGAACCACCTGTTCTCTTCCAAGTTCTTGGCCATCTGGGAGGTGGGGAGAGTCAGGTTGTGATGACAACTGAGCTTGAGTTTGCAGTGCCTCACGTGCATGGCTTGCTTGTACATCGCATTCATCGTGCCGTATCTTGCTGGATTTGATGATCACAAAGCAGAGCAATACGCCTTGTTCAAGAGATGTGGCATCAAATGTAAGCCTGCGGTGCCCGGCTCTCCTTGATTCACCTCATCGTGTTCTAGATGCGGGACAGGATGTTTATGGAACTCTCTTTGCTCTCATCGACCTGACTTGCGATGTGATGTTTGTCGTCGACTTGATCCTCAACTTTCATATCGCGTACTGGAAGATAGACAACCGGGGACGAGGTCTGGCAGACTGTGGACTTCAATCGAGTTCTGACGTCTTGCTGCGGTTCAGAGCATTGGGTGTTGGTTGATGACTTGAAGACAATTCGCTCTCAATACTTGAGAACGAACTTCTTGACGGTGAGAATCCTTGCATGCGTACTTCACAACCTCCCCTGCGTCGTGACACTTGTTCCTTCAGGATCTTGTTGGCGTGTTGCCTTGGCAATACCTCGATGTGAGTCGAAACCTTGACGAGAACTTGCTCTGAATGTGATGAAGTGTGCCGAACTGCCAACTAACTTCAAGATCCTGAGGCTTTTTCGCCTCTTGAAGCTCTTCAGGCTCTATCGACTTCGACGAGCAATCAAGGTCGAGGACTGTTGTTGACAAACATGCTCTTCTGACCAAAGGCGGCAGCTCATCTACTTCAAGTATCCAAGAAGCGTTTTCTTCTTCACGGGTGATGTGGAACAAGGGGCTGACAGACTGTGATTTTGTCGAACCTCAGGAATAGAGCTATTTGTTTCTATGTTCTTAGTCGCGCACTGGTACCCGCGACTCGCTGCCTCCCGCTGTATCTCAGCTATGCTCAGGTTGTGCTGCGCCTGGTTCTATGTCGGGGTGAAGACCAAGGGATGGGTGGTAGCACAGCATATCATGGACGAGGTTTGTCAACACTTGTTTGTTGGTGACCCTCACCTTTCCGTACAGAATGGTGAATTTGTGTCCGACGACTTGCTGTATCAATGGGTCACTTCAATCTGTACGTTGAGATGTGGTTGAGTCGCATGACTGAGAATCTTTCAGATTGGGCGATCACCACCATGACAACGATCGGGTCCTTTCAAACCGATATGCATTATGCAAGAAGTATGTTTACACGTGTTTGCTTCTAGTTATGGCGACATTTCTGCAACTACGGAGCAGGAACGAGAGCTGGTACACGACCTAACTTGACCCTTCTTGTTGCAACTACCAACTCCCCTGTGTGTGTGAGACTGGCGCAGGCGTGCCTGGTGATGGTCATTGGATGCGCCTTCTTTGCTTGGAGCACCGGAAAGATCACTCAGATGTTGACGGATCAGAAACGTTGCCAGATAAGGTTAAGCTGTCACTGGGCTCCTCTTTTGCTGACCTGGTCGGCAGGTTCCGAGACAAGCTGGATGAGCTCTCAGGGTTCGTCAAGGCAAGAGACCTCCCAGAAGAGCTCGTGCAACAGATCAAGTCCTCTCCTCCTCTCATGACGTCGCTGTCATGACCTCGCTTGCAGATCGTTCTACATGTTGAAGTTTCCCGCCATGTATGTCATCCGAGCTTGAGGGGCTGCAGTCTTGACCGAGGCCCTTGACAGGCGCATCTTCGATGAAGACGCTATCTTCGCGGACCTGCCGAGCGGGCTCAGCAAGGCGGTGAGAAGTCGGGGCAGCAAGGGAGGGGAGTGAAGTTTTGTCAAAGGTCAAGGTGGAGCTTTTCAAAGATATCGTGCTGCAGTGTCCTCTCTTCCATGCCGTTGAGCGATCGATCGCGATCGAGATCTGCTCCTGCCTCAAGGTCAACTCCCCGCCTCCTCCTCCTCCCTACTTACGCCCCTCGCAGCAAGTCTACGTCACAGGGGATGTGGAGATCACGTCAGAGGTCTTGCCTCCTCCTCCTCGTCCTCCTCCTCGTCCTCCTCCTCGTCCTCCTCCTCGTCCTCGTCCTCGTCCTCCTCCTCGTCCTCGTCCTCGTCCTCATCCTCGTCCTCGTCCTCCTCGTCCTCCTCCTCCTCCACTTGTGCTCAGCTCTGATAGCCCCGTTCCAGGGAGAGATAGCAGACGCCATGTACATCGTCCGGTGACTTTCTACTTGTCGTCTTCTCTCCTCTTCTCGCTCCTCCCCTCTCCTCTCCCGTCGTCTCCTCTTCTTGACTCGCGCGGCAGCTTTGGGCTTGTGGGGCTGTGGGTCCACGGGCAAGAGATCAGCGTAGCTCGACGGTGAGTGACGAGAGTGGGACCAAAAGACTAAGACGAGGAGGAGGAGGGGGAGGACAGGGAGGAGAGGGAGGAGAAGGACGGGGAGGAGAGGGAGGAGAGGGAGGAGGAGGAGAGGGAGGAGGAGGAGGAGGAGGAGGAGGAGGAGGAGGAGGAGGGAGTAGGAGGAGGACGGGAGGAGGAGGGGGAAGAGGAGGACGAGGACGAGGATGAGGAAGAGGACGAGGACGAGGAGGAGGATGCGGACGGGGATGAGGTGGGTAAGGTGGTCGATTTCGGCATCCTGGGCAAAGATGTTTCATCCAAAGAAAGAGCAAACATTCACCTCGCTCTCGTCTCTAGAAACCTATAGCGAATCCTCTGCACCGGCCCCTTCCCCCATCGCTGCCTGATCGTCATCTCAAGAGGATATCACCGCAGAATACATTAAACTCCGGGC